ACCCAAATTGACTACTTCTTGGGTGCGAGGAGGTTTGAGGGTGGTTGTTTGACATGAAGTCGCCTCAACACCATCCTGGCATGTCCGCTGGGAAATCTCCTCCACTAGGGGAGTGCGAGTAGTAGTGATATGTCTGCCACATCCCCATGGTCGGTGTTTCCAATGGATTGCTCTCCAACTTTGGAGGTCCGTGGATCCGTGAATCCAATTGGGCCCATCCAATGCACTTGTATCTTGTACTTGAGGCCGAGGGTAGGTGACGAAAGCTAGCAGGGATGCATCCGTGTCAGTGGAGGCGAAGCATACAGCGCCGTCCAGTGACAAAGGACTGGTGGGACATCAAGCGGAGTGAGGCAAATATTTTTTCATAGGCATGGGGCTGTTGGAGGGATGGTTCACAAGGTCTCGCTCATGAGGTAAAACGTTGTGAACATGTAAGACACACGAACAGCAATGACACAGCCAACCTTAGCTTGTGAATCTGTTGCATCGTATCCCAAAACCTCCACGGAGGAGTTGAACCGAAGTGGATGCCATAAGAGGTGTCCAAGAAGTGTTCCCGAGGCGTTGCAGGGGGGAGTTGAACCCGGGGGGGGGGGGGGGGGGGGGGGCCCTCTACATATGAAGTTTTCACGTGATGCGGCGATCTCGAGGATTCCAGCCCCTCACTTGCTAAAGCAAGGACAACTCCAGCTAGCTGGTGCTAGCTTTCGTGATCAACTCAGTCCGCTCCAAACATCTTCTGGAACAGGAGGGATTCATCCTGTTTCCCCTGAGCTCCACACCGAGCTGGCTTCCAGTTTCAATTTCCCAGCTGCGGATAGGGCCATCACCTGCAAGCAGGAGACTCCTTGTGTGTACGTGCTCACCAAGATGCATTTGCAAAAGCACAAACTAATGCCAATGGTATCGACAAATATGTATAATATACATTGTTCAATGAGTGGTGTTTCATTTATATAATTGTCTTGAAATCTTTACGTCTAATGTACTGCGTTATATTATATACAGATTGTTTTCCTTATTTTAGTATTCTTTTCTTAGTAATTACACAAGGTTGTTGCACAATATGGTTGCTACAACAAGCGCCAACCTGCATTCTATCGTTCTTTCGCAGTGAGATCTGGGTGCCCGCACTAATGCAAGTCCCAAGTCAGCAATGAAACGATCCTTGTACTGACCGCAAAGTGAATCCTGCAGTGAGCAACATGGTGTCAAGTGTCTATCACCGAACCGTCGATTGGTCTGAGCTGAGCAGTATGAACAAGATTTGTAAGAGAAATAGTAGAAAGTAGGCTTCACTCCCCCTACATCAAGGCAAAGGTGACAAAGGGCCATTCTCAAGCTTCCAAGCTTTGGAACCATAATAAGCTTGAATGAACTGTCTTTTGTTGTCCTCAGCAAATGTATGCCTTATGTTCCGAGTACATGTTGGTGCTCAAACGTGGAGACATTGTGCGGTGGCCAAGGCGCCTACTTAACCTTCCTGGCCAACAACTGAGGCCTACCTGGCCTACCTGCCCATGCATTGATATGCCTGTAGAGATTTGTAGAGCATCTTCAGCTGCCACACTATTGCAAACTATATAGTAGATGTCACATGTCCGTGTTTGGTGATGCTTGATTGAAACTTCTTTGGCAATCACAGCAGCGCTTCAGTAGCTACACAGCATTATGATAATTGGAGGCATCTGCAGCCATGCTACAACAGTGAGCAAATTTGAGCTGTGCTTTCTCTACCAATCAAAGGGCTTACTGTACATGATCGTGACAGTGGAGAATTTCAACACAATAATTATCAATATCAAATAGTGTCAAATGTCATTTGATGAGAAGAACAATCAACACAAACAATCCTGGCATAGTTTGTTCAAGCCACACAGGAAAACAAGCGAAAGCAGCGCTTGCCTTAAACAGCTAGACCGGCGGACCAGCCGCAAACTCTAAACATCTCGTTGCCAATGGCAATCGTACTTTCAAGCTGGTCTCCTGTGTGAGTTGCGCTGGAAGGATCAGCCTCATGCTGCCATCCACTCTGCTCACAAGTAATCTTCTTCTCTTGGGACGTTCATGCTCCGAAAATACAAGTCTCCACTGTCCACTGGTTTGTGAGCCTAGATCCAAACGGCCTTTCTTGTTAGTGGATCCTCAAGTATGCAAACCACAAATTTAAGACCATTGAACAAAAAAATACATTTTAAGCACACATTGTGAAGTTCATGCTAATTCAAACCGTCCAAGGTGTGGAGTCTTTCCAGGTGCAACAAACTGTGGCTCCCTGCGTAAGCCCAATGGAGCCGCGAAGGATGATCTGAGAATTAGCGGTTTCCACCCGGAAGGTCTGGATGTTTTAGTTGTGGAGTGTCCAAGGCCGGACAGCTAACAGCTCATCAAGTTCCACATCGGGGGTTGTGAAGGTAAAACAAAACCAGAAAAACATCCTGTTCAAAACACGGTTTCGCTACCACTTTGTGCAGAAGCAAGAATTGGCAAGAATGTCCATTTGTAAAGAAACAAACCTTCAAGGCAACTGAATTATAGGTTGGGACTGGAAAAGCCATCTTGAATCAACAACTTCAATTTAGATCTCCATGAACCAACATTTCCTTGGGTTATTCACTTGAACCAAAATGGGACTTGCTGTCTCCTTGATCTGGATTTCCCGTCTGCAACACTGCCGTTTAACTTCGTGCGCTCTGCTCAATGAGCAAGAACCAAAGAATCAAGGATTGCATGCTTTGTATTTGCCCTTTCCGCGAAATGCGGTCCGTGGGTAGTCGTTGGGCGATTTGCTCTCAAACATCCTCAAACTCTAGCCAATGCACAGTATCTATATATGTACATCGTGCATTTATGGCAAGACACGCATTTTTTGCCGATTAAGGACAAGAAGCAACGCCAACCAGGGTTCAGAAGACCCGCACAAGTTAAACGTGTGGTTTGCGCGAACACGTCCAGCTGTCACTGGCCGACTTTTGGAAGGTAGAAAAACACATGAGAAAATCATCGTGCAGCTCCTGCAAAGTCCACACAACAGCAAGGCTGCACGACCGGGTTGGTTTGGAAGTCACATATTTGTGTAATTTTGTATACAAGTGTCCAATGCATTTACTGTAACACAAACGTCACCAATGGAAACTTCCCGGATTATGTTACTTGAGCTATCCCACCCAACCAGACCACCTGCTTACTGTTTGCCTCACGTCGGTAAGCCGGGGCTATGATTGGGCCGCAAAAAAACAATAGTTTCATTGTTGGGGATCTCTCTCTCTCTCTCTTAAAGGAAAACAATGCCCTTTGAAACTTGAAGCGCATTGCACTTAAAAGTAGCGCGTGCCACTCCCCACATAAACCCAGTGACCGTGTCATAGATTGCCATACCCTCAGGGGCACAAATGCGGCCAGCACGCGCCTTAGCGGAGGAAACTGACTCAACAAACCTGTCTTCAAAGAAACGTGTGTCTTCTGAATACACCAAGAAGCTGCATCCTGCCCTGCAACTATGCTTTCCTCTCATGTTTCTCACTTTCATCTTCTATGAGGGCCAATCTTAGGGGGGGGCACCTTCCCGAATGAGATTGGCAAGAGCTATGTAATTACCAGTGTAATTACCCCTATGATTGTACATGACCTGGAACTATCCAGTGCTCGTCCTTTATGAAGAACATTATGGCGTTATTGTTTTCTTTCGTTCCTTTAACTGCAAATGCAATCCTTATCGTTTGACCACACATTGCGCACCTGTTCCACAAAAAACATGAAACTTTCTCTGTCAATCCCTCAAACCTCAAACAAAAAAACATAGCATGTATATGTTTTTGGCTGTCATCGTAACGGTCCTAACGCTGGTCAGCGTGATCCAAACTCAGCCTTCCCTCTAAATCTTCCAACAACCTGGTCCCAAAATTATGTTCGTGCTCCCAGGCTCCCAGGATAGGTTTTAGTTTTCGCATCCCTGATCTTTGAGATGATCTGAGATGGGGAATCTGAGATGATGCTTCAGTGTCCCAGGTCCCAAACGCATTTTGGGACGTTGTCTTCCACAAAACCTTTTACATGTTCAGTGCCGCAAAGTTCAGCAGCTTGACTGACTGATGTGGTGGGAATTGCCATCAATATGGTCCAGTGTGGCTAGAAAAGGCCAGTTCTAGGCGATTCCACACGTTCTTGCAAATCCCGACCATCACACGAAAGGATCGTTAAAAACCGTGATTTATGGAAATGTATCCATGTAAACGCCTGGGTGCATCCTTGGCCATGCAAGGTCTGCAATCAAGGGTTTCTTGGAGATGCTGGTACCCACCACAGGTTGAAAAACATCCCATTGTTTTTATCATTCCACAAACATTTGTCTTGTGCCCTGTGGGGTTTGAACCAAAAAGATTGAATGGAAATGCAAGTCAAAGTTTCGCTTCTGAGAACTACTGTCGGGTTGGTTCCGCAGCTGCCACCTGCCTGGGATTCCCAGGACCCCTGCACCGGTGTAGGTCAACTTCCACTCAACCTCTGGTTCATTCTCCTTGTCCACTACTGGCCCGCACCTGCGGCCAAAAGAGTCTGAGTCTGCTCTTGGCCAAAAATAGGACCACAAATCACAGAGTTGACATGCTTGTGTGGGTTTGAACATGCGCGAACAACCAAATTACCCAAAATGGCACATGCCATTATATGTTTGTATTGAGACTTGCTGGGGTGCAACAAGTTCGGAAGGTTGTCGATGATGGTTGGTTATCAAACCTATTGGGGAGATCTGGGGGCAGTCTTCATCTCAGAAACAAACCCCAAACAATGTCGATCCAAAGCACCCTACACATCAAAGCACACATAAACAAACACACATAATCTATGCGCGGAGCCTGACTGGGTGCCCTAAAAGCCCTCAGTGATCTCTACATATTTTCCTAAATTTAGGGCGTCGCTTCGTGAGTGTTATTATGGATACTTTGAGAAACCAGCAAAATCCCATAGGAAATGCAACGCAAAACTCGCGCGTTTGTTTGCTGCCTTTTTCACATGTCCTTTGGCAGTTGTTTGCCGCACAGTGACATCAAGTCCTTCGAACCTGTGCGCATGAAGCGCCACTGCCAAGACCGAATACTTCGCTCAATGAGGAAAGATTTCGAAGAGAGCGACTTTGGTATCTTCTGTCATCACATCAACAGCTCATCACCATCCTGTGTTACTGATCACACGAACGAAACCAGGAAAACCTCCCGTAGTATCGTCTGTCGTCACATCAACAGCTCATCTCCATCGTGTTTTACTGATCACACGAACGGAACAAGCCGCCCCCCAAAACATGTTAAACACGTTACTTCAAAAGTTTTCTAACACTCAAACAATAGCAATATAGAAACTCAAAAATTATTCACAACCGACTACCACATATAACCTCATTCATTTTTCAAAACCATAACTACTAACCATCTGGTACCTCATTCATTGTTCAAAATCATTACAGTGAATACATAACTATCTCATTCATTCCACAAATCATCACTACTAACCATCTATTACCTCATTCATTCGTAAAAAGTCATAGCTACTAACCATCTATTACCTCATCCCTTTTTATTGATAAATACATCATCACCTCATCCATTCAATACCCAAAACAAAACAACCAAGCAGCATGTCTTTGTTGCATCTGAATTTCTTGTCATCTATGATTACGGGCTTTAGTTATGTTCTTCCTTTTTGGTATTTCTGCTAAATCATTATATACTCAACAGATAGTCTGTAACTTTTCCATCCTATAATATTATATATTGTATTTACTTAATCTATCTTGAAGTTTTTTTGAAAAAAGAACGCCTTATATTAATCTTAGAATATTTACTTAGCGATTAGTCAGTTAAGTATATTAGTGGATGGATTGTATGAAGGATTTGCCAGTAAATGTGTTGAGTAATATTGTATCATATACTCATGGAGAACCTGAATATGTGAAAATAGAACATAGTGAAGCATTGACGAGAATACAAAACAAAAAAAAATATTTCAAGACTTGTTCCTAAAATGACAAGACATTTGACATCAAGAAAAAATATACAAACATGAATACTGTATTATGAGAGAGGGAGTGTCATTTAGTTTGAAACGTATAGAATACATAATAGCAGAAGAACAAGAAGAATTACTATCTTTGATTTATGAAGAAGTAGAAAATGATTTAACTTATCGACTATTGAAGTTCAATTGGTGGCAAAATGCCCAGAAAAGGAATATGGAAAAATGAATGTAGCTATAGAGAGATTTACTTTATGAATGACTTTGATGAGTATGTAGAAGATATTATAGATGAAGCATTACACAAAGCAGTTGAAGAAATAAAGACCGCTATTGAAGGAGACCAAGATAAAGATAGTATAATAGAATACAAGCCTTTGATTTAAGTTAACAGTTCTTGAAGACATTTACTACTAACATATTTCAAAAAACATCTATTAGAATTATGGATTTGAAGATTGGATTATTAAAGGTGAGGGGTTATGCTATGTTGTTGTTTCTTTTAAATGTTGGTCTTTGCTTAGTTTGTTTTTGTGTGTTGCTTGGTTGTTTTGTTCTGGGTATGGATGGATGAGGTGGTGATGTATTGACTGTTATGATTTCAATAAAAGGGATGAGGTATGATGAGGTAATAGATTGTTTGTAGCTAGGTTTTGAGGAATTAATGAGGTAATAGATGGTTAGTAGTGATGATTTTGTGGAATGAATGAGATAGTTGTGTATTCACTGTAATGAGTTTGAACAATGAATGAGGTACCAAATGGTTAGTAGTTATAGTTATGGTTTGAACAATGAACGGGGTACCAAATGGTTAGTAGTTATCGTTTGAAAAAATGAATGAGGTTATATGTGGTAGTCTGTTGTGATTGTTTTTGTTAATAATTTTTGAGTTTATATACTGCTATTGTTTTGAGTTTAGAAAACTTCTTTGAAGTAACGGTTTTTAAACATTTTTCCCCACCCCCCCGCCAAAACCTCCCGTAGTATCGTCTGTCGTCCCATCAACAAATCATCATCATCAGCATCAGCATCATCATCGTCTAAGAACATTGACATCCACCGGCACCGGGTCGGAAAAGTGCAAAATATATCGATTGATATCGATTGTAAAAACTAGCGAAACCACACGTTCGGTTTCCGACCCGGAGGCATAAACAAGCGCACATACACTTGGGAGCACACATCTGGGAAGCACACGCCGCGAATCTGCACTTCGTGGTTCACAAGAACCGTTGCCCTGCCATGAAGTCTGCACACGAAGATTCAATTTGCAGCCCTGCCAGTGCGCTACGCAGCAATATAGCACTTCCAAAGACAAGTCCGAGTTTGAAGGCAACACTTTCGCTCGATACTTCTCCCAAGGTCCAGAAACGATCCACATGTGCATGCCAAAGACCACCAAGTTCGAAGCGCTGCGCCTCCCAAGAAATTTACACATCGAAGTATAAAGTGGCTCTGATCTCTTGCACCTGCCACGAAGAGTCGACTTTGGACCACCAAACACGAGAAAATCCTTGCGCCTGCCACGACAAGTGACCACCAAGTCGGAAGATGTGCACACTGCACGACACCACAACGAGAGCACTCGCTCGGGCCTGCCAGTTTGCAAGCCTGCCCAGTCAAATGCACTTCGAAGATCTCAAGAGGCATGAATGTGCCGTACATATGGCCAAACACACCGGTGAGCGCCCTCGATCAAGCCCAAAGCTTAATAACCAGTCCTGTAATAGTCCGAAGTGTAATGACCCTGTTTGACGAGCACAAAGAAGCCCCGAGCTGAAAAGCTGTCCACAATTAATCACATAGATTCATGTTTCTCCTGACCTCTCGTGATCTCTTGCTGAGCAATGCATGCCTTAATTCCTTTTTGTTCACACTCGCAGCTGTGAAAAGACCAGAACCCTAAGAATGGCTGGGAGACTTTCGAAACCTCAATTGAGCTGGACAGCCGAAAGCGCTGCGAGGGCACTTCGTCTTCCGGCCTCGAACTCTCACATGAGCTAACGAACTGCAGTCTTGGAAAGCGCCAACTCCAATGCAAGTCACAGACTTCGGGATTGCCAAGTGTGTCAACGAGCTGCAACCATCGAACGCGTGACTTCCAATGTGTCTCACTGAGTTGCCAATGTTCAAGCTTTCTAATGAGCTACATCGATTGAATGCACGAACCCCAATGTTACACACGGAGTTTGGGATTGTCAAACTTGACAAAGAGCTGCACCGGAAAAAGGCACGCTGTCCAATGTGGTTCAAAGAGTTCGGAAGCACCACTCTTATCAACGAGTGGCAGCCACTGAAAGCACAGTCCCCAATCTGGGTCACAGAGTCGGGAATCACCAAGCTTTTCAAGGAGCGACAGTCGCGGTAGGCATCACTTGCAATCTCTGTCACAGAGTTGGGTATGGTCAAGGTTTCCAAGGAGCTGCAGTGTTGGAAGGCACTAGGTGAAATACGCGTTACAAAGCTGGGGATTGCCAAGCGTGACAATGAGCTGCAACCTTCAAAAGCAAAGTCCCCGATGTCAGTCACTGCATCAGGCATTATCAAGCTTGCCAAGGACTTGCAACCTTTGAAGGCAAAGGCTCCAATTTGAGTCACCGAGTCGGACACTGTCAAGCTCGTCAAAGAGCTGCATCCACCGAAGGCAAAGAAATCGATGCTCGTCACAGAGCGAGGAATCGTTACACTCTTTAAGGAGATGCAGCCGTGAAATGTAAAGCAGCCAATGCGAGTTACAGAATTCGGAATTGTGACATTTGCCAAAGACCTGCACCCTCTGAATGCAGAGTGTCCAAGGTATGACACAGAGTTTGGAATCTCCACAGTCTGCAGTGAGCTACAAAAGCCAAAAGCATTGTCCCCAATCAAAGCAACTGACTTGGGGATTGTCACTTCGACCAAAGAAACACATTTGAGAAAGGCACTTTCTGCGATGTGCGCTACAGTCTCTGGGACGGCCACGACAAGCAGGTCTCTCACATCACAACCCGAGTCTTGTCTGCTTGAGCACTCAACTGGGCTGATTGTAAAGAGAACATTCACAACAGCTTCTGGAGAAATTCTGGAGGTAGCAAGTGTTTCATCAGCGTCCTGCAACTTCTGCCCCTCAACAACTAAATCTACCGTGGTCATACTGCGCACGACCTCGTCTTCACACGGCTGCCATTCTTTTAGCTTTTGCTTAAACTCCCGGATGCTTAGGTTCGGCATCACTTCAAGAATGATCACTTTGCCATTCATTTGCCGGACTGGGATCCTCATCGCCATGGCCACACACAAATTCCGATCGTAATCTGTTTGCACATCTTGCTACATCGCTTTGGAAAGCCACACAGCCGCTCAGAACACCTTTTGGCTCGGTCCTGGTTATTGTTCATCATTGAATCATGGTACTCTTCTTGCATCCAGAAATGCTGCTAGCTTGGTGTGAGCTCTTGATGGCTTGAAATAAAGGAGGCTTCAAGTCAATGAATTACATCCCGTGCATCTCTCAATGCCAACCTTGTTGAATTTAGATCTCCAGGTCCCAGTTCTGGCCGCCTGGGCCTAGCTTTACAAACAGTTGTTTTCGCTCGCTCGACCAACTCGCCCGAGTACAAACTCCTAGCCCTGCCCACCCTCTTGGACGCCTGAGTTCCACTGAGCCCTCCAAACCAAAGGCCGAGCCAGCCGGGAAGTAGCCCTCCCTAGGTCGAGGGAAAAACGTTCAGCAATCCTGGAAGAATTCCTGTTTTTTAGGACTTCTCCTTGAGGCTTGCAGGTCTCAACCTCATTGATCATTGAGGTTGTTACTTCAGGCACCAACTTGATTCTTGATCCACTTGGCATGAGTGCTAGGCTTAAGCACAAGAGTTTGTTGTGGACGTCATTGTATGGTACAACAACCAACAGTACCAACTTTTGTGTCTGGATCATACCTGTTCATAATCAAAGCAATATATAATTGACACATAACTATTATATAATTAAGGCATGCATACAAACCTTACACCATACACAACCATGGATTCAAGTACGGTCAAATCACCATTGGTCAAGTCCGCCTTGTTATGTAAAGTGTCAGTTTTATTATTTGTATAACGCGAATCAAAAAGACATTAATCCTATTATGTGATAATTGTCAGTGTATATATGTCAAGAATGTTTGATTGGAATATGTTAAGTAGTCGAAGTTATTGTATATTTTAATGTTTTTTGTTGTCCACGTTTATTATATCAAACAAACTGTTGTCAATCTGTTATTCATCTACATAGGATCAACATCTACTGTCCCCATGTTTGCGAGTCACTATGTTAAAGCGAACATATTTGAACATCCTCCGAATTGGAACCTTCCTTTTTGACACCACAAGAACGGAGGCGACAAGTGCATTTGAGGCCGTCACGAGCATGTCAGAGTCGCCGTGGCGGTGATTTCCTAGGACTTTTGTGGCGATGCAGTCGGCGCTTGGATGGGCTTAGCCTGGTTTAGCTCCTTTGTGCAAGAAAAAACAAGAATCAAGTGTTCCAGTGTTCCATAAAATTCCTAGATGCACCGTACATACAGTTACATGTATATTTATGTATCAACCCAGTTTTCTCAGTAAAAAGCCTCAAACGCGACATGCAGAAATGATCAGACATGTTCACATCTCCAATCAAAGCCCGCCAGTGACTGGGGCTATCCAACCCGGCTGTTGTCGGCATACACAATGCTGGCGCCCACCAGCCATTCCCTCTCGTTCTCGTTCCTCGCACCGTAGTCGCCACAAGATGATGGCCTTGGTCGCAACATAGGAATGGCCAGTGACACTAGTGACCAGGGATGGCAATCAAGGAGCCTTCTGGCTACAAGTAGTAAACCTTAGTATGGTCCAGTCAACTCCAAGACTGAGAAGTGGAAGGAATATGAAGGAATGGCTTAGAATTCCTTTATCTTTGTGCTACAATGAAAAGGTGTGACCCATGGATGCGAGGATTTAGAAGCAGGTGCAGCTTTGGGTAGTTTGTTGTTAGCACCTTCATTGAGTCGCACCATATATATAATATATATATATATATACTGTAGTTGTGCTGTACAGCAAATCTCGGTCCAAAATCCACACCTGCACTTCGAATTAGTTCAATATAAGTTTTGATCGCATCTCGGCCCTCTAACGTGCAGCTCACGTTCGGATGAAAGGTTGGAGCTGCCTGGTGGAATCGTGGAAGGACAAAGAAGAACTTGTATAGGTGGCTGGAACCTTACTGTCAATAAATATATACTATATAATATATATATATACTTAGAAAATTGATGCGCGCAAGAAAAATCTTGACTTCAGCTTGAGACATCTGTCTTTTCACATGTCTTCATCTCAAGGAAGCTTTGGTGCACCGGCTGTTTGTATCTTGAGTTACTCATTCGTCTGTCATCTGTACTTCAACTCCAAGCCTCTGGAGTCGTCGAGAAGGTTTGGCAGGTGCTTTGCAAATTCGACCACTGATACCCAGGGTCGCAAAGCAGCTTGCAGGTCTCAGTGTGTCGATGGGGGCAGTTTCAGAGTGCAGTTGGATGCAGTTTGTTGCAGTTTGATGCAGGATGCACGTGGCAATTCTCTTCCTCAAACTAATGATACGAGGATCGTCACATTGTCCGCTAATGCCGTTGGTTCCTGCTGTCTGCAAGGGCAGTGACCGGTAAATGATAGATCATTAGGAAGCCACACGGCACCAAAATAGGGGCCGCCATACTCTTCGCAGTCTAAGCCTGAGAATGGGCCCAGACTGAAGGCGGGCTGGAAGGTCATCACTGGAACAATCGTGTTCATCAAGAAGAAAACTCGTTGCGTTCACAATGTGGCAGTCCATCGGTTCCAAAGCTTATTACCCCTTTCGATTCCAACGAAGGAACAAACAATGCAGTCACACAACGTGACCCGGAGACTCACACAGGTACCCTGACTCCATCTGATTCCACACAAATTGGAACTAGCCTTCACTTGCTGAGCTTCCTGTTTGTACTAGCGATGGCCCCCGGCCTCCACCTACTAGCGATGGCCTCCAACCTAGTAGCGACGGCCTCCAATCAATAAGGCGAAAGTGTCCACCGATTGTGCCAAGGTGCGACCGCTCCCCAGTGACGACCTCGTCGAGAAGATTCACTGACAGTCCATGAGTCCATGACAGTTCCACGTATGTAAATACGCACTGTATAATCACTATATATATATATATATACCTGAGAAGGGAGGGGACGAAAACCAGCCTTTGCGCCAAGGGGGGTGCCCTTAGGGTTAGGTTGGCGTTTGCAGGCAGGGCCGCTTGTTTTCGTTTTAGGTCAGGGGTGTGTAGAGTGGAGAAAGAGTAGCCGGAAGTGGTGAAGTTGACATGACATCGCAGCCACTCTCATAGGAGGTAGAAACAGATAGTATAGTATAGTACACAGGTTTGGGGGGGGTGCCCTTTTTTTGTCGTGGTTCGGGCGCGTTTTGGAGATGAAAAAGGGCACCCTCGAAGGAAGTGAGGTGTAGTAGGTTGCTGTGCGGTGCCAATCAGTGAGCAAATATGGTTATGGCTATGGGGGGGTCAGGTTTTCGAGAGGAGACGTATAGCTGGAAGTGGTGAAGTGGATATTGCAGCTACTGGAGCGCCGAGATGAAGGGATTGGCTGACATCGGGCAAAGCGTGCGTTTAGGTGGTGAAGTTGACATCGTAGCCACTTGAGAGGGATAGAAACAGAAAGTATAGTATACAGGTTCGGGTTCGTCGTGGTTCGGGTTTGTTTTGGAGGTGAAAAAGGGCACCCTCGAAGAAAGTGAGAGTGGTAGCTTGCTGTGTGCTGTCAGCAAAGATGGGTATGGAGGGTCGAGGGGATCACCGCGACAAAGTTCCAAACCTTCCTCCTCCAACGCTTGCCCGCTGCAATCTGTTCTCTCTCCCGCCCTCAACAATTTCTGAAGCAAGTCAGAACCTTCCTGCCTCATCCACGTGAACTCCCACCGCATAGGGGGTGCCCTCTTCAGTATGGCAACTACGCTAAGCTTGCCCGCAACTGCAATCTGATCTCTTTCCTGCTCTCAAGTTTAAGGCCAGTTCTAACTTTTCCCGTCCCCTTGTCTTCCCTGTCCTCTCATCGACGTGAACTCTTTCCACCGCAAATGGGGTGCCCTTTTCAGTCCGGCAACTCAGCCCGCTGCAAGCTGTTCTCTTGCATGCCCTCAACAGATGTCATGCACCCCATATGGGGTGCCCTTTTGAGTCCAGCAACTAGACCTTGCCGCTAAGCTTGCCCGCAGCTGCAATCTCTTTCCTGCTCTCAAGTATAGGGTCAATTCCAATCACTTTTCACGTCCGCTTGGCTTCCCTTTCCTCTCATCCACGTAAAGTCCCACCCCTAGTAAAAGCAGTTTACATGGCCTCCTGAGCCCCTCATGATGCTGATGATGCACTCTTCGCCGTCAATTACATCACTTGCATCACAACCATCCCTAAAAACCACTCATTTTTCACTACCTCCGGACCACCTCTGTTTTTCGCTCTCCTCCACCAAGACTCTGGGTTAGCTTCTCCGAGATTGGCCTGCTCGCAACCACCCCCCCACACCCCCTTCAACTCACTTCGTTCGCTCCGTCAACCTCAAGCCTTGCCTATTGGCTGGCTTTCGTGATATAGTGGTTCCAAGTTTGTACGGACATTACGGTTCAAAAACAATGTCCCTTCCTGTATGATGCGCACACATGGAGATCTGAAGTCATGACGTGGTATTCTGTGATCTAGTATATTGGGTGACAAATCCAACGCTTGTCTATGCTTCTCAATTATCTACTTGAACATCTCTGATTCTAAAACAAATGGGCACCTCGTCTTTCGGAAAGAAAAACCGCTTTCAGGTGCCCCCACTCGATCGGGCAGCTTTGGCGCCAGCATGTGGGTGCCTTGATTTGGCATTGGACCCTCTTGGACTCTTGGATGAGACTTCTGGCAAGGATGTTCACTTCTGGTAGACGGACTGGAAAGTCTAAAAAGCTGACATTGGTTCGCGGAACGGTTCCCCGGTGTTCCCCATGTTTCCACAGATTGTTGTTTGAACAGTTGCAGGCGTTTGACTGTGGTACTGGATGCCAAAAGCCGACAAACCCTTGGCATAGCTAGTCGTAGACTGAACTCTCAAAATCTATGGCTGCAAACAGGAACCTGTAAATACGGAAATACATACCTGAGTCTAGCACCAAATCTGATAGCCAAGTAGGACGGCAATCGCAGTTCCCACAAATTCTTTGAGCAGTCGCATCTGAAACTCAACTCAATGTTTCTCGCACCTGAAACTTGCCCTGCTCGCAACGAAACAAGGAATCCACCTCAGCG